TTGTCAATAAAATTTATTTTCCATGTAATCAATAGGTTCTAAAATAATTAAAAGAAAAAATCATCATTTTCCCTATGTCTTTTCATTTCCCATTTCTGTCCTCATCTTCTTCCTAAGCCCAAATCCCTAATCCTCTCTACCTTTGCCTAAACCTAATCCCTTTCTCAACCATTGATTCTTCTTTGCTAACCCTTCCTCCATCAAAGCCTTCGAATCTTCACACTAGTCTTTGTCTCCATTAAAGCTCTTACCTTTCTTTAGCAACCCCTTCTTCTCCTCATCCTAAATCTGTCAAAGTCCTTTCAAATGACCTTGGCTGGTACTTTTACCTCGACGACCAAGCAATGGCCATAGAAGTGATCACACTTGCCATTATCAAAGCACTTGACGATGACGACCTAGCAATTGGCACAACAACCTTGAAGGATGATGGCGGCCTTGAAAGATGATGGCAACCTTAAAGAACAATGGGTTGGGTTTGGCTTCAGGAACTTCACCATTGCTCACTCAATTTGCAACACCCAAATCCTAATGGTTGCCTTTATATTGCCTTTTTTTTTTTTCTTGTGTAAATCAAGAAATGGTGATAAGAAGAAACTCTAGTTCTTCTTTCAATTTAGTACATATTTGCTAGTTTGATTTTTTTGGTTCTTGAGTTTTTCTTGTGCCTTAACTTTTTTATTTCTCTGAATTTCTTCATTTGTTGTCTTACCCTAATACGGGTTTCTTTGTTTGTGTCTTTTTCTTCTGTTCTTTTTTGCTTCAGCATTATTGGCTCGAGCACTGGATCTAGGATTTTCTGTGTGTTGATCTTGGATTTCATGGTTAAGCAGTCATCAAAATTGGTAGAGGGGAGACGATATTGCTCAAAATTATGGGAACAAATTTCATTTGAAATTGAAATGTGTTGAGGAATGAGGAGAAAAGAATTGCTGTGAAAAATTAATTTTGGAAAGGATGGAAAGAACAAAATTTTTTGTTGAAAATTGTTAAATTTTTATCTAATTTATGTTTGAAAAGTAAAAATAAAATAAAATAAAATTAAAACTATTATATTTGATTAAAGAAAATAAATAATTAAATATTACATATTAAATGAGTTTAGTAAAATTATTAT